TTGCTATTTTACCTCTTGAGGATTTTAACTACGGCACATAGCACTGTGTGGCCTCAGATCACCATTAGCACTCCAGTGCACAAGAATGAATAATATAGCAACTAAAAAAAAAAAAACAAAAACACGTCTTTAAGCTTTAGGTCCATAATTTTAACCCCGGTTCTCTGAACTGTCACCAGCTACAAGAGGTAAGAAATGAAATTTCTCCCTAAAAAGAAATTTGATCCTTCTTGTAACTGACTTCCCTCTTCCTCTCTCTCCCCTCCTTCTCCTAGGAAACCTTCTGCTCTCAAATGTAAAGAATTAATTAACAGTTACTGAATTCACTAGGGTGACAATTCTGCCACTGGCAGCATGCGGACAGGCTGCTGTGTCCAAACAGAACCCCTTGATTTAACGACACTCCACAGAGGCTTGTTCAGCTATATGGTTAGAGTCTGAACTTGAGAGATGTACCAATCTAACTAAAGGAGAGAGATGATAAACCAGCTTGGACGTGTGCAGTTCTTTCTGTAAGCTCACATCCACCAGTCAAGCATTACTTCACTCTTTAAACAAAGGTCAGACTGTACATACACCAAGAGCTTTTCCAAATTAGATGACTTTATAAATAGCTCTTTTTGAGAAGTTGTGTAGTTTCCTTAATTGTGTGCTCTACACCAGGGCTACAAAAATCACATTATACCATATTTAAAACAGAGATGCATAACTCTGAGTCAAAAACTAAGAAGCAGTTCTTGAGGGTAGGAAAAGTAGGCATTTAAGAAACCGCTAGAGCATGCAAGCAAGATGTGACAGTTCCTTAGCTAACGGAAGGCAAATGTGTTGCAATGGTGAATGTTTTTGTTGTGAGCTCTCGTATTCGCTCTAGCTGCTTTTCAAAGAAACAAGTGCTGCCGTAGTACATCCCAGTAACAGGTCCTCTGTGCTGTGGTCTTGGGTAAAATGCAGAAATTCAAAACTTTATCTTTGCTTTCCCAATAAAAAGCCTTTAACAGGAGCCTGACCCACAGCCAAACCAATACATTTAAGATTTACACCTCCAATCAGACAAACTTTAGCGTGATCATGGATGACAACATGCCCTTCTGCTCCCACTGATTTTCAGGGAGAGGGAGAAGGGGAGTTGTCCATCTCAGCAAGGATACTATTAGCAGCCCAAAGGATTAGGCCCCAGCTAGCCTTTTGAGACAGAAAGAATGGAAAGCCTGTTAAGCTTCCTGCATCTGACTGAACAAAGCGTACCTGTTTCACCCTGTCCATGGCAATCATTCAGTTCAGCCAGAAGCTGGTTGAAGTCATCCTGATGAGCAATCCAGCTGTCCTGTAAATATCACCCACATGAATACAAGGCAAGAGCTTTCAGTCCTAACACAAGTTTTGCTAAAACGCGTATTAAGACTCTGCACTCCAAGAAGTAACTTAATTGGAGGTATTCAGCCCTTCTTGGTGGGAGGGACCCTCTGAAGCTCCACAGGTGGCAACACTAAAAAGAGCTCGCTACAGTCACTCCAAAGTGCAGAAGTGGTAAGGCTTGTGTTTGCACATGTTCAAACAATACTGAGCTGCTGTCGGCTCTGCATGTCCCAGTCTGGGCAAGATGTTTTTAACAGTAGGCAGGAAATACTAATGTGATTTTCCGGCAATGTTACTTGAAATGTTGACTCAGAGTCCAGCACCTTCAGGACCAAATTCTGCTTTCCCTGTATACTTGAGCTCCACTCAGGAAGGTGACTGTTCCAGAAAGAAAGGCAGAAGGCATAAAGCTACGCTAGGTAGTCTTTAGAGAAGAGGCACAGAGGAAGCAAGTATTTCGGTCGTTTGCTAGGACGCAGCTATTCTTTAAACAGCCTCCTGTACCCACTGTTAACCTTCCCAAACAGCCACTTTCTCCCAAAACACCCAGTACAGCATAACTAAACCGAAGGTCAAGATTTTCTGCAGAGACATTCACATAGGTGTACGCTGTCACCAGGGGTGATGACAGATTTCACTAAAGTCCCATTACAAGTATTGTGCTTTAGCTGAAATGGGAGCCACATTTTCTCACCCGAGTCTAGTGCTCACCTCATAATTGACGGTTGCTCCTAACCCCAGCATGTTGTTTTTCACGTGAACCTTGATATGTTCTGTATTCCCTTGTTCCTGAGCCCCGAGACCCTGAGGAGGATTTAAGGGCAAAAACGTGATTTTTCCGCAGTGACTAAACAACTAGAGCTTTTGTACTGTAAGACGATTTGTAACAAAATACAGCAATAAACCACACGTTACTATTTATTTGCTTGCCTGCAACTTAATTCATTTGCAGGCACTAGCACCATGATATTATGTATTTTTAATTTACTACTAAAGCCTCTAGCAAAATATCATAAACACTAAAATAGCAAAAACATTATGTAGTTGGGTGATTAATCAGGAAGCCACCTGACATTCCAGGCAACTCCAAAGTGTTTACAATTTTAAAACAAAATACTACACAAAATGAACACGTCTCTCACCAAAAATACAGCTGCCATTGGGAAGGCAGCTGCGTAACAACAAACAGCTATAAGACACAGGATAGCCCATACTGCATAATGAAATTATGTTGGGATGAGGGACAGAGAAATGATCAGAATGGAGTTAAGAGAACCTTGAAAACATCTTCTATAGCATTCACACCCACAGCGTAGTAAAGAGATGGGGGCAAAAAAACATTGGTTTTATCTATTCTAAAAACTCTAAGCGTTCACATCTGGGAAGCAATCTCCAGGCCCAGTATTATCCTTTTTATCTGTGTGATCGAGGGGAAAAAAAGACAAAGCATTTGGTTTTGAACTTTATTCCTGGCCTCTACCTGTATTTTCCCTAACCTGGCCCCAGTAACAAATCATCAGGTAAGTGTATGGCTATAATAAACACACACTTACGAGGCTAGTGGAGGGAAGTAGAGAAAAGCCCTATGAGTAGATCCTGTGCACGTGCAATATGTGAAGCAACAACCCATAATTAAGCTGTTGCTACCACTGACCCAGTAGAGTTTATTTGGTCAGTTGTGTGCAAAACTTACCTTGAAACTTCTGCTAACCAAAAACGAAGGATACAAGCAGGACACTTGGCTACACTTCCTGCCTGATCCAATTCCAACACAACTAATAACAAGGCTAGTGCAAACTGCTTAATTTCATAGCTCACACGGGCTTTTATCCATTTACTTGATCAAGCTGTGGTTCCATTTGTCTGAGTTCATACTGAAATGGGGATATAAAACCTTCCGGTATAGCTGTGTATAACTGTGGTAAAGGAAGATCCTGCAGCTCAAGCTAGGAAACTTATTGTGAGGAAGATGAGGGGAGATGAGCAGCACAAAGCAACACAGAGCCTTCCTCCCACACCCTGACAGAGTGTTCGTAATGGTAAAGGCATCATCTACGCTGAGATGAGCTGGCTGCCTAAAATACAAACAGGACATTTAACAACATTTTTTCTACTCTGGGTTACACATCTATTTTTATCTTACACACAAAGCAAGCATGCATGCACCTTCACACAGCAAGACAGTTCTCAGCCACATACGTTAACAGTTTGGTCTACAGCCTATTGAAACCAATGCCCAGTTCCTTGATTTCAGTGGCCTTTGAATCAGGTGCCACTGGTTGTTTTTGAAATTAAAGGTGGGCAGAAGATTTATATGTACTAACTATAAGCCATTTTTTTGAGGCAACAGTAGGCTACAATGAAAAATCCAAGAGCAGGCTTATTTTTGTCACTACGAGTTTTCATGTGTTCACAGAGTTGAAAAGTAGTCCTAATTTTATTCCTTTTAAAAGGGGCAAGGAGAGGAGATGAAGGAGAAGAGTTAAATATATATTGTGGATTTTCTTTGTGCGTTTCATTAGCGATTCAAGACCTGAAAAGACGCTGACACGCAAGTTCAACTCCCAGCTTTGCTGAAGCACCTTTTTGAAAGTTAAACTGCTTTTAAGGGAGAGCAGAGATGTCTGCATTGACCTAGGGAGTTATTCTTAGCACCAAAACCAGTCACCTCACCCCTGCACCCCACAGGTATAGGCTGGAGGTAGGAAGGAATACAGCTCACATAATACATTTCCGCCATTCAGGGAACACATCAGAAGTAACTTTTAAAAAATAGGTGAAAGATTATAACAGATCCTGGGGGTGTTTTAAACAATATAAAAGGTCAAGGAGACAACTGAGGGAATAAAGGCAACTTAAAGACTTCTCTAACTCTCCCTGATTTTATATCCCTGCTCCTGCTTTCACTGGGGGACATTATCTTGTTTGGTGAGACGGGGAATGGAAAGCAAGAAAGCCACAAGTTGGTGAGCACCTGTGTGAAAAACTATAAAAATTTAACATTGCTCACGTTTTCTCTGCACTCTCAGCAGACTTCAAGAATAAATCATATAAAAAGAACGTGGTTGTTTAAATCCTGGGATCAAGAGTCACCTGAAAGTCTTGCACCCAGATCGCTCCTTTTCTCAGCATTTTAATTTCAGAAACAACTTAGTTACAACCTTTCAGTTAGACAATTCCTCTTTAGATCATACCTTTCCTTTCGACCAGCCCATCTTTTCCAGCATCTTCTGGCCAAATTTAGATTCATCTTTACTCCAGGCACTGTTTCGTGGATCCACAGACCACTTCTGCCTTCTACGGGCTACAGCAGGAAGGAAAAGTTAGGCTCCGTTTACATTCCTACAGTGCGCTCGGTATTTATCTTTAATCATTTCAAGAGAAGTCCTTCATTCCAAAAAACAGAACCTATGCCAGCCCAAACATGCTTTGGAGTTTTATTTTTGCTAAATTACATAATGTGAAAAATTATAGTGAAAGTTTTTACTGTTAATGTGAATAATGCCACAGTGAAATACCTATGGAATTTGTCACCCCTGGGGATGGGCTGCACTTTAGCAAAGGCTTTAAGGAAAGTCATTTAAAAGTTGCGGTCTAAACTCCATGTGAAGTTATTTTACATTTGGCTTCAACAGGTAATCTGTAGGAGAAGAGATGTCAATGCTGGTTTTCCTAGTTCTGGAAAAGTGTCTACTGTCCATCCTTCCTCTTACCCAGAATACAGGAGATCTAGTATCTGCTTTCATAACAGAAAGCCAAATCAAAAAATCAAACCTAACCACAGATGCGGAATGACAGAACAGAAATCAACTGAATTTCAGATTTTTGATTTGCCACAAAATGGCTTATTCAGAAACCTGCAAAAGTCAATGGAAATCATTGAAGGTATTAGAAATCCTCAGGATCTGGGCTCTTGTGTCCTAAATGTACTACTGAATGAACTACAATGCCCCATGCCCATATACTTATGTTTGCCTGTATCACCATGAATATCTTCATTGAAATCAAGGAAGAAGAGTTAGTACAGTTAACCAGTCACATTAAGCACGCACCTAAACATATGCAGGAAGGGAGCTTAGATAAACAAGATGAAAAGAACGGGAGCCAGGAAGATTTACAAACTTCATTAAACAAGTTGGGAAATGGGGAATCAATGTGACCAATTCACTCAAGGCCATAAAAAGTCA